AGGCTCTCAGCTGAGGGTTAGCAATGTGCTCTTTGTGGTAGTGAGGAGATATTATGTCAGTTCTTGGATATGCTGCAGGTCTCATGGGACAGAGGACTCTGCATCCTCTAGTAAACCCCCTCTCTGTTCCTTTCTCACATGCATTCATTTTAACAGGCACCATGTCATTGAAAAAGGACCTCAAATTATTTTAGTTCACAGTTAGTCTATTCACTCACTCATGTTTAATAGAAAACTAATAGAAAGCAAAGTTTAATCATTTTCCTTTTGTACTTAATATTCAATTACCTTACACACTTATACACATCCAAAAAGGGGATTTTGCAGCAACAACCTTCAAGTGAACAGTTCTTAAAATAACTTTTTTTGTGTGTGTGAAGAACAATTTAACAATATAAAGATGGTTGGTTGGTTGGCTATTTTCATGGTGAGTACCAAGTTGAAATACTATAAATGAGCGATTTAAAAACCTATCCACCTTATTTTTCCCGTGGATTTTATGAGTCTGGCTTCTGGTGTCATCCGCCCCGCTATTTTTAGCCGTACAAAACTGTTAGTTTTGCTGCTTGATATTGCAAATTGGTGTGTCTTAAGTTCCGCACATTCACAGAAAACGGCTTACTTCCACGTTGAATAATAAGGTGGATATAAGATTTTTAAAGTTTGCTTTAGATAAAAACTCTAAATATGGATTCAGGGTTCACTCTCAAAACATTTATTTGCTATACATTATACTTTACTAAGTGAAATTGAATAAGCACAATTTTAATAAAATACATTTCTCTTAATAATCTAAAGAAACCTTTTCATATAAAGAAACTTTTATACACTGGAAAGGTCCCATGAATGTTAAAAGTTCTTCATGAAACCCTAGATCCCAATAAAGATAGATAGATAGATAGATAGATAGATAGATAGATAGATAGATAGTTTTTGTTTTATCCAGCTGTATTTACTCAGTGCAACTTATAACATCCGAGTGAAAGATGTAACATCAATATGTCAGAAAAAATAAATAAATAAATAAAAAACAGAATCACTGAGTTGGAAAAGGATCACCCCCCTCCTAAAAATGACTTGTAAACTCAACCAGGTGTAGCTGATCACCTTCTCAGGCAAAATAAGGTCAAATTCTTGAGGAAAATCTGCTGCCCTCTGCCAGAAAGTTGCAGCATGTGCAAAGTTAGTAGAGAAATATCCCAACAGAATAAAGGCTGTAATTAATTTTATTTTATTTTATCTGACATGTTGGTGTTATATCTTTCACTTGGATGTTATAAGTTGCACTGAGTAAATACAGCTGGATAAAACAAAAACTGTGTCCGTCTTCATTTCAAGCAACAACATGTGATCATTTTAAAGGGGGCTGCTTCTTTTCTATACCCACTGTGTATGTATATATAGTAAAGTGCATTATAAAGCTCAGCATTGTGTCATACTTATTGTTGTGTTTAGCTTGTTGAAGATCTTGTTCATTGGACCCTCACACACAAAGCGGTTGAGTAAAAAGGGGCAGGGCCTTGGGCCTCTCCGATGCACAGGTGCTGGCCCAGTGTTGTTGCCATGACAACAGGTCTTAGTTGGCACAGGGCCCTGGCCAAGGTATACGCTCTCAGGTTACAGATTTTGCAACTTTTGAGGGCCTAAGGACTCTTTCAACTCTCAGTGCCAAAATAACACAAAAAATCCAATCAAGAACAAGAGAAACAAAAATATTACAAAAGCACAGTTGAGTGGAAATTATGTTATTATAGAGTGAAAATGTATTAACACAAAGGTCTCCAGTGTAAAAATAATAATGCTGATAGAAAACAAAGCTCTAGTGTCAGATTTGAGGTTTTCAGTAGAGGTTTCTCACTCAATTTGAATATAAATGTAAAGCATGATGAACTATGCAAAGTTATGATCCTACTACAGTATTCATGAATGAATAAGTAAAGGTCCAACTTCTTAACAGCATTATTCCCACAGGATCTAGTAATGTACAAAATGAAGTGAGCGCCATCTAGTGGTCATGTATTTGTTAAACAAACAGGCGGTTTGAGGAACAGTTCAAGATGTATATTTTACTCAGAATAAAAATAAAGGAATAATATGTTACTCCATTAATATACCAGCATTACTCAAAGTTCAACTATTCAAAGTGCTTCCTGAACATAATATTTTAAATGCTGACTAACAAAGCAACAAAGTTTTCATTTTCACTTTATTTTAATTATTTTCAGTTATTCGGTCATTCTCGTTTCAATCATATTCATATAAGATTTTTAAAGTTTGCTTTAGATAAAAACTCTAAATATGGATTCAGGGTTCACTCTCAAAACATTTATTTGCTATACATTATACTTTACTAAGTGAAATTGAATAAGCACAATTTAATAAAATACATTTCTCTTAATAATCTAAAGAAACCTTTTCATATAAAGAAACTTTTATACACTGGAAAGGTCCCATGAATGTTAAAAGTTCTTCATGAAACCCTAGATCCCAATAAAGATAGATAGATAGATAGATAGTTTTTGTTTTATCCAGCTGTATTTACTCAGTGCAACTTATAACATCCGAGTGAAAGATGTAACATCAATATGTCAGAAAAAATAAATAAATAAATAAAAAACAGAATCACTGAGTTGGAAAAGGATCACCCCCCTCCTAAAAATGACTTGTAAACTCAACCAGGTGTAGCTGATCACCTTCTCAGGCAAAATAAGGTCAAATTTGTGTATCTCAAATCCTCAATCCTCAGTCAGTGACACATCAGTCCTCATGTTCATTCATTCAGTTTTCATCCACACACTGGAATCATGATTTTGGCTTGAAGGGATCAGACCAGATCTTCAGACCTATTTAAATAAGACACATAAATGACAATCATATACAGAAACTAATGTCTGTTAAATAGCATTCACATGGGCCTAATGTAAATAAACTGTAATACACAGAATATATAATCCTGCCACTTAATGATATATCTATAAATCACATGTGTGATGTGAGGTGTCATATATACGTTTACAGTATGTTTACAGTCCAAACAATGCAAACTCAACGCACTGGCCAAATGACATAAAGAGTGAACATGACTTACCAGCAGGCTGCACATCTGCTTGATCGACTCCGGCTCGATTTATCTTCTGGATCTGCTCTGTAATTACATTGGCACAAATTCAGAAAAGCACTGGGGGAAATGCTGACACTTTTTAGGGTGAATCTCACAAAAACAAGCTTTCAACACTTTATTATTTTAATGTTTAAAATATTTTTACTTAATCTCAGTGGTGTTCCGTGTTATTTTGGTATCACTGATATGTCACATTATTTTAATTAATGTTTTAGTAATTTTGATGCCTTGTCATTTTTATTAGTTTTTTTTAATATGTCTATATTTACATTTTAATTTTAGTTATTTTAGTACTTCAACTAAAAGAAAATGTGAAATGTAGCTTGCAGCTAGCTGAAATAAAGTTGAATTTTTGAAATATTTTATTATTTGTTTTGTATGCTTTTAGTTTAATATTATATATTAATGCTGGTCGTGTTCTTTGTTAATTTATTTAATATTTTTAGTGCAGTTTATTTTTTCACTAACTCATTATAGGATTGTTAGGTTACAAAATTCTATTTAACTGAAGATGATGTACATCATTTTAGATAACAACATAGTGTCCTAGTGTGGGCTATTCCAGAAAGCAAGGTTAACTTACCATCACATATACCCTGAACTCTCAGTTGATTAACCCAAACCTTACTTACTTGAGCTATGCTGGTTCCAAAAACACGTCCGGGAGTATGTTCAGTCAACTCGGAGTACAGTGCTGAATCGACGAGTCACCATGGAAACCGACACTAAGAAAATGCGCACCATACTGCTTCTTTCTTTTTCTTTTGTTCAATGGCCATTTACATACCTAATGCATATCGCCACCTAATTGGTGGTTGTGCAATCATTTATCAAACTCATCTTTAATCACTGAGAATAAAAATTTTATTGTTTGTTTGACGCTGATTAATAAGACATAACGTATTTTTATTATAGAAAAACATTATAGAACATATCCTGTTGCAAAAGGAGAAAAAAAAAGGTTTGAATGCAGATTCATGTGTGAGATGACAATAAAACAAATATAATAAATATATTAGAATAATCAAATCTTGTTATAACAGTGCTTTATATATATATATATATATATATATATATATGTTTATATACACTACTGTGCAAAAGTCTTAGACCATTAGTATTTTCACCAACAAAAAATGGTTTAAAGCCAGTTATTTCTATTTTTGCTGTAGTGTGTCAGTAGGAAGCATCAGTTTACATTCCTAAACATTTCTTTTGCCATTAATTGTAATAATCCAGTGAGATTTGAAGGAGTCTGACAGCCAGTGCTCCACACAGAGATCTGATCTCACCATCATCCAGTCTGTCTGGAATGACATATCATAAACAGATCTGATTTATCAGTTAACTTCTATTAAATCAAATCAACATTTGGTGTGACCAAGTTGCATTTAAAATGGCTTTTGCCCTAGGTTCACTAGCGAATAGTTTTTCAGATAGCTTTACTGATAGGTTTCTTGAAGCATCTTGGAGATGTTGCCACAGTTCTTCTGGATTTAGTCTGTCTCAGTTTGTTCTGTTTCTTTATGTCATTCCAGACAGACTGAATGATGATGAGATCAGATCTCTGTGTGGAGCACTGGCTGTCTGTGCATAGAAAAAAATCTCACTGGATTATTACAACAAATAGCAAAACGAATGTTTTCTAATGTAAACTGATATTTCCTACTAAAACACTACGGCAAAAAAGAAAAAGAAAAAAGAAAGAAAAAAAAGAAATAACTCCCTTAAAACCATTTTGTTGTTGTTGTTAAAAATACAAGTGGCCTAAGACTTTTGCACAGTATATATACACACACATACATACATATAAACTATAAAATTGTATATTATATAACTATGTTTTAATAATATATAATATTGTGCGCAATCTGTCACGCCCACTGGAGTCTCGTCAATAGGTCGCGCATGCGCTGAGAGTGCTGAAGTAAACTAACCCTGAACAGAAGTTACCCCGGGAGCAGCTTATGTTCAGAGAGTAGGTTGCTATGGCTACTTACATAAGTTACCCTGAAAGTTACCTCCGTTTTTGGAACTGAACGCGGAGTTTATCCGCTTACTTACCCTTAAAGATAAAGTTACCCGGGTCTGTCACATAACCAGTGTTGGGGGTAACACATTACAAGTAACGTGAGTTACATAATCAGATTACGTTTTTCAAGTAACTAGTAAAGTAACGCATTACTTTTAAAAGTAACTTTCCCCAACACTGCACATAACCTACTTTCTGGAATACCCCCCTTGTCTTATACTTTTTTTTTTTTTGTTTGCTTATTCCCACTAATCTCAGTGGTGTTTTTCATTACGTTAGTAGAATAGTTTTACTACAATGCATTACTCAAAAAATGTATAGTCATTTTTAGTTAATTCAGCGTTTAATTCAGATTAAAGGCAGTAACGTTATAACACTACAGTGAGTGATGCATAATTCTTTACAATAATACAATAATAATCATGTCTAATAATGTGCATTAATGTTTTCACTACTTATGTAACGTTAACTGATAAACTGATTATTAGGTTATAAAGATTATATAAGGTTATAAAGGTTATATACGATTATTAGGTTACAACATACAATATAGTTGAACCTGAAGAAGTTTACTAGCAACACAAGACTAATGTCATCATGTGTTGTGATAAAGACTTACTGTAGTCTTCAGTGTGAGTGAGAGGATGGAAAAATATCGGATAAAAAGCCACCGCAACGGCTGCAATGAAGCCTCCAAATATGAGCGTTATCCTCCTATTAGCAGACATGATTTTGATAGATTCACCTTATCCGAGGACAGAAATCAAATCTTTCATGCTCTTCTTCTTCTTCTTCTTCTTCTAATGTTTATTGGCAGACTAGCTTATTAGTGCATTACCGCCACCATCTGAACTGGAGTATGGAGCAACTCGTTCATGTTTTTCCGGGGTGAAGTTCATATATTAAAAACAAGTTTAAAGTCTATTATTATTTAACATCTGTTCTATATTGAAAGTGTACATTTCAATTATTCAAATTTAAAATATATTGTACATAAACGTGATATTATACTCGTAAAAGATTATTTTGTGAGCTAACAGTATCGCAGTAAAATATTTGGTAGTGGGGCTTTTATTTTGTCGCGAGGTCTCCCGTCATGCTGTGTGTTTGTAGTGTTGCTGTGTCAGTGTGTGTGTAGGATCGCTTTCTTTCATCAGTCATAATGTCCGGCAGTAACTCATACAGACTGCGCTGCTCTCTCCCCGCGCACGAAATGGATGTCAGGGGCCTCGCCGCCGCCGCGTATCCAGACGGAGCGTTTGTGTCCGTGTCCAGAGACCGAACCGCACGGGTCTGGGTACCAAACCCAAGGTACATTGCCACCAGCTTCCCCCTGCTGTTTCTCAGACCCGGTTTACTTTTCGTTTCGTTGAGTGGTAATACGTTGTCAGAGTTAGTTAATGTATTGAGAGGGGTTGCCAAATCAAGCGAAATTATATATATCTGAATGGAAACTGACCGGGGTTGGTTTCCTGATAGCGACCGATCTATAAAACACTATGAAACGTTAAAGGAATAGTTCACCCGAAATGAAAATGAAATCATTTGTTCACTCTCTCGTTGTTCCAAGTCCATATAACTTTGTTTCACTTGCTTCTTTTCCATACAGTGAATAGTGATTGACTCATTCTGCCTAACACGTCTTCTTTTGTGTTCCACAGAAGAAAGAAAGTCATACACGCTGGCAGAATTGTCATTTTGGGGTGAACTGTCTCTTTAAATTCCATTAAGCGTTCTCTGAATTCACTGAGATCCAGTTCCGTTCAATTCCACTCAGTTGAATTCAGTTCAGTTTAGTGAAGCTTTATTATTTATTAGTGCACAGCATTACCAAAAAAAAAATAAAAAATCTTACCTTCCTCAAACTTTTGAGTAAATAGGATAAATAATAAAAACACATTAACAACATCTGTTTAACTCTCCTGTTTTTCCTTCTGCAGTGAAAACCAGGTGTTTACAGAGATGCACTGTATGAATGGCCACTCAGACTTTGTGTCTTGCGTGTGTATCATCGATCCTAATGAAACATACCCCCGAGGACTCATTGCCACTGGAGGACACGACAACAACATCTGTGTGTTTTCACTAGACCGACCAGACCCTCTGTTCACCCTCAAGGGTCACAAAAACACAGGTACTATCCACTGCTATTGATGTATTACAGTGATGTAACTGCGTGCAGGTTGTCTGAGTGTCACTGGAATGAGTTCTGTAGCCATTCCTGGTGTTTGTGTGTGTGTGTGTGTGTGTGTGTGTGTGTTTGCAGTCTGCACACTCTCAGCTGGCAAGTTTGGCACAATACTAAGTGGCTCATGGGACACAACAGCCAAAGTCTGGCTTGGAGAGAAGTGCATGATGACCTTACAGGTAAAGTGGAATGGTTCTTGGTATCACTATAGTAGTATCACAATTTGGCTTATTGTGACGTATCAAATGACAAAGTCTGCGATTTAATCAAATATATGCGTTGTGTTTCAGAGTGAAACGTGGTACTGTGTTCTTTACAAACTAGCAGCTCATGATCCAGTGTTTTCAGTGTCTCAGAGCAGCTCGAAATAAATGCTGCTCCGCACTTATCAATGAACTTATCTCTTAGGAGGAGATACCCCCTGACAATGTAAAGTGCTTTGAGTGCCTAGAAAAGCGCTATATAAATGTAATGAATTATTATTATTATTAACTTATCTCTGCATGTGCTGTGAGTTTGGCTTGCTTGTAGTGTGCATTTGGAAACACAAAATGCACCAAACCATTTTCCCAAACTTAAAAACCGGCTTTTTTCAACATAAAAGCTTTAAGAACTTGCTTTAAGAATGCTTGATGAAAATAAAGAAGTTGTACTGTAAAATACAATTATTGCTTTATTATTTTTCTTAAATACTTCATTTTTTATTTTATTATGAAATATTCCAGTAGTAATATTTCTTTTTTAAATAATTGTATTATTATTATTATTATTATCATCATAGTCATATTGATATATATTCACCGTTTTTTGACCAAAATGTGCAGCCTTACAAATATGCACAGCAAACCTTTGCAATGACATTTTAAATCGCAATCACAATTTTTTTTTATCATGAAACCACATTTTGATATTTTTGTTAACACTTTAGTTGAAGCCTTTATGTGTAATGCATTATAATGTTATTCATAATATATGTTCTAATGCATTAAATCTTTTCATAACTAATTGTAACCTAACATAAAATGCATTATATTTGCAGATTCCTAAAATTGTAAAATTGATTGTTTGTAATGTTTGAATGCATTATACATTATAAAAGGTGTAACAATGAATAGAAAAGTATTATAATGTATTCTAACCTATTATAACTATGCGATCATACATTGCATTATAAGGTGCATTACATATATGTATACATAAAGGCTTCAAGTAAAGTATTAATGATTTTTTTTCATGCAGCCCTACATCACGGCTTTTCTTAAATAATGTGTTTTTTTTCTCTCCCCACTGTACCTTTAAGTGGGAGATCAGATATACTCACATTGCCTGCAATCTATTTCAGTAGTGTGAGTATGTGCTGACTGGTTTCTTGTGTAATTGCTGCTCCTCAGGGACACACAGCTGCTGTATGGGCCGTAGTCATTTTGCCAGAGCAGGGCTTAATGCTGTCTGGATCAGCTGACAAGACCATCAGATTATGGAAGGCTGGTCGCTGTGAGAATACCTACACTGGTACATTGGTGCAACTGATACTTCTAATGCTTTCAACAATGAAACTATGTTTATTTGATGCTGAATATAGACACTGTGGAGCTTGTTTAGTTTTAACAGATCTCCAGCAGGGGTCAGCATTAGTAATTGATTGTGGCAAGGGTGAAATGCAGTTTTTGACTCCAGCTGTGTGAGATATTTGTAATGTGTCTGTCCTGCAGGTCATGAGGACTGTGTGCGAGGACTCGCTGTGATAAACGAGGTGGCGTTTCTCTCCTGCAGTAATGACGCCAGCATTAGACGGTGGATGGTGACGGGTGAATGTGTGCAGGTTTACTATGCTCACACTAACTATATCTACAGCCTTGCTGTCTTCCCTAACGGACAAGGTGCTTACCTTCAGTTTTGCAGTAGGTTGATATGGTTCTACATATTTGTGCATAAAATCTTAATTATTTCCTATATTGTCTTCTTTTTTCCTGTTCTAGACTTCATAAGCACAGGAGAGGACAGGACACTGAGGGTCTGGAGGAAGGGGGAATGTTCCCAGACTATCCGTCTTCCGGCCCAGTCGGTGTGGTGCTGCTGCATTCTGCCTGATGGAGACATTGCTGTGGGAGCCAGGTATGCATACTGTTTCTGTTTCATATATTCTAAACTATTTGCAGTTTATTATCCTGCATGAGGCTGACCATGTCACATTTCTCTGAAGCGATGGCGTTATCCGCGTGTTCACCGAGAGCGAAGAGCGTGTAGCGAGTGCTCAGGACCTACAGGCTTTTGAGGATGAACTCTCCAAAGCCATCATTGACCCCAAGACTGGAGACTTGGGCGACATCAGGATAGAGGACTTACCTGGCAGAGAGCACCTGAATGAACCAGGTTAGCAAACTGAGGTGTGCCTTGTACACATGTAGTGTTTTCAAGAATGTTCAGGGTTATTTTTGTATTATTTATATTTTATTATAGTATTAATTAATATTTTGAATTAGCTTTAATTTTGATTTTATTGTTTGTTCAGTTTTAAAGGGGTCATATGATGCGATTTCAAGTTTTCCTTTTTTTATTTCAGTTTTAGTCAATTTTGTACTTCAAGTTAAACTAGTTTTAGTTTGTTTCTAATTTCCGTTTAAGTGTTAAATCTAATATTTGTATTTTATTTCAGCTTTAGTTTTAGTTGGTATTAACAACACTGAGAATGCTAAGCAAATATTTTTGCTTATAATGGATCAGTATTTATCTGCGAATATCCTTGAGGGCAGCGCGCCAACATATAGTGCCGCTGCGCTTCAGGTGTCCCAAGTTCAAGTCCCGGCTCGCAGACCGTTCCCGATCCTGTCCCTCTCTCACTTTCCCACTTCACTTCCTGTCTTGCTACTGTCCTATCATAATAAAGGCAAAATCGGCAAAAATCAAAAAAAAAAAAAAAAAGATATATATATATATATATATCCTTCTAACTAATACATTATAATATTTATATTTTTGCATTATACTGTATTATTATTGTATATATACCTTCTATACACATACCTATATGTATGAAAAAAATATATTATGTAGGATATAACCATTTTGCTCACTGTATTATTATTATTGTCTGTGTGTAGGGAATCGGGATGGCCAGACGCGGCTCATAAAGGAAGGTTCTAATGTTGAAGCGTATCAGTGGAGCGTGAGTGACGGACGCTGGGTGAAGATCGGAGATGTAGTGGGCGGGTCTTCTCAGCAAAATTCAAAGCGAGTGATGTATGAAGGCAAGGTGAGACCCGTGGTATTGATCCAATAGATGTTGTGCATAGTATGTACAAGGGTTGGACAATGAAACTGAAACACTGGCCAATATAGTGTTGGAGGTTTCATGGCTATATTTGTGCAGCCTGGTGGCCAATCTTCACTGATTGCACATTCCACCAGTACGAGCAGAGTGTGAAGGTTGAATTAGCAGAGCAATAGCACACTTTTACATCAAATATGGCAATGCACACAACATAGTGGGAGACATATCAAAAGAGGTTCAAAAGTTCAAAAGAGTACAAATTGTTGGTGCACGTCTCGCTGGCGCATCTGTGACCAGGACAGCAAGTCTGTGGTGTATCGAGAGCCACGGTATCCAGGGTAATGTCAGCATGCCACCATGAAGGACG